AGTATGACCATGGTCCACTCCCTGAAGCAACCAGACTCCATAGTACCAGCCTGGACCTGCCCCTTTCCTTGGTTGGTGGCAAGACTTCTCTGCCAACACAACCTATGCCTCCTCCCCCTGACTGGCCCCATGGGAGACAGAAGTTGCAATCCAGGGGCACAAACCTCCTGTGTAACACCAACCCAACCAGACACCTGACTGTAACCGGAGCATGGGACTGAGTATGGGAGGCTGCTCCTGACTAACTGTGTGGGACACCCTGACTGACAGGTGCTTCTCACCCCAGACCTCATGGCAGACTACTCCCCTCAGACTTTCAGACATGTCCCACTGCTTGCTTCAGATGGCTTTGGGTGCATATGCTGTGGTCATGTACTGCAAGTGGTAACACTGACATAAGGCCAGAAGAACATAAGAAACACGAACAGAAGCAGGCCATTCGGCCCCTCGAGCCTGCTCTGCCATTCAATAGGATCATGGCTGATCCGACATTTCCTCAGTCCACTTTACTGTCCTTTTGCCATCACCCTTGATTCCCTGACTGATCAAGAATCTATCTATCCCAGCCTTACATATACACATGGACTCTCCCTCATAGCTCTCTGTGGCAAGGAGTTCCAAAGACTTGCTCTTCGTCTCAGTCTTACCGATGCCTCTTTATTTTGAGACTACGCCTTCTGGTCCAAGACTCTCTCATAAGAGGAAACATCCTCACAACATTTACCCTGTCAAACTCTTAAGAATCATATATGTCTCAATGAGATCACTCCTCAATCTTTTTAACCATTGCTCATAAGACAATCCCTCCATACTAGGGATCATCCGAATGAACCTTCTCTGATCTGGCTCTAATGAAATGATAACTTTCCTTAAATAAGGGGCTCAAAACTGCTTACAGTACTCTAGATGTGGCCTTTTACAGTTATAGTAAGACTTCTCTATCTTATAATCTCCTTGAAATAAGAGCCAGTATTCTATTTACCTTCCTGATTACCCGCTGCACCTCTGTGCTAGCTTTCTGTAATAAAACAAAGATTGTGGATATGGTAGATGTGAAACACACAAAAATAGAAATTGACTTGGATCACTGGACTCAAAATGTTAACTCTGCTTTCTCTCCACAGATACAGTCAGACCTGTTGAATTTCTGCAGCAATTTCTGTTTTACTGTACTAGCTTTCTGCATTTCAAGCAGAAGTGTTTCCCGACTAACCCTAACTCAAGCCCCACTGTGTTGCAGCTTTCTATATTGTTTTTCCATTTAAATAATGCTGTTCTTTGTTCTCCCTTCAAAAGGAACGACATCATATTTTTCCACACTGTACTCCATTTGTCAACATTTTGCCCATTTACTTAACCTATAGATATCTCTTTGCAAAATGTTTGTATCCTTCTCACAACCTGCCTTTCCACCTACTTAAGTGGGATCTGCAAATTTAGCTTCAGCACATTCTCTTCCTTCCTCCGAGCCATTAATATAGATGTAAACAGTTGCAGTCCCAGCAATATTCTTTGTGGATGCCCACTGGTTACAGGTTGTTAACCTCAAAAAGAATCCCTTATCTCCATTCACTGTTTCCTGTTCATTAGCCAATTCTCTGTCTATTCCAATATACCTCCAACACCATAGGCTCTTATTGAGATTGAGGGCTGCTGCACGGCATGGCCACCTACCTTTAGTGTGACTGTGCCAACTGCTGGTGCAAGACAAAGCAGAGGAGGGCACTGCAAGGTGGGCATGCTGCAGGCACCGTGAATGCACTCTGAGAGAGCAAAGGCAGCCTGAACAATGTCATGGACTGGATTCCAGCCCCTGTGCCACACCTGTACTTAATACAGCTGTACAATGCTGGTTGCTGGTGTACATGCCTGACTAGTCTGCCCTTGCAGTGTGTGCGCTGCCAGTGTACTGACAATGACTCTCTGAAATGGAGCGTCAATGCCCGTGGTGGAAGGGTACATACAGCTGGTGGTGGTGGATTGAGCCCTGCCCTGCGGTTTGTCTGTGGGAAAACTGGAGGTCTTTTGAGGCAAGTGATGAGTTGAACCTGCCAATTACCTGCTCCGGTTGCCATGTTGACTTTTCCCGATAGCTAGTTTGTATGGTGAGCTTGGTAAAATTAGCACTGCTGCTTCACAAAGCCAGTGACCCAAGTTCGATTCCAGCCTCTGACGACTGTCTGTGTCGAATTTGCACAATCTTGGTCTGTGTGGGGTTCCTCTGGGTGCTCTAGTTTCCTCCCATAGTCCAAAGATGTTCAGGTTAGGTGGATTTGCCATGCTAAATAGCCAATACTATGCAGGGCTGTACAGGATAGGTGGGTTGCAGAGATACGGAGGTGGTGGGGCGACAGACCTGGGTCTGGGTGGGATGCTCTTTAGAGGGTCAGTGTGTACTGGACAGGCTGAATGGTCTGCTTCCATACTGTAGGCATTCTATGATTCTAATCCATGGCAGATTGGACTGTTAAAGTGTTTAACGAGCAATAATGAGAGTCAACTGGGAGCTTGCCACTACCTAGTAAGAATCTCGCAACATTCCTGGAGAAAGTGAACAAGTTGTGGTGAGATTTCTACATCAAGTTGGGCCTCACCAAGAAGCTTGCCTGATTCTACCACTCATCTCACCATAGCCCAGATAACTCAGAACCTGAGAAAATTCTGTCCTTAGTGCTGAAGTTTGTCTTGTGCATTACTACCATATGAATGGTTGATATAGTTGCTTGGAATTCTTTTCTTTAAGTGGAAATGTGCTTGTTTTAGGATGGAATTTATCTGACTATCTTGAGCTTGATATTTCCCAAGACCAAGAGTAACTTCCTCGCACTGGTAGCAACTCGATAGAGAACAACACCCATTCATTGCGGAACCTGTCTGATTTTTATCCTATTGATATCAGTGGGATTTAAATCAGGCAGGTCCATAATGGGTGGGTAATCCATTGTGTTCGATTATCATGGTGAAAGTGAAAATGTCCCTATGCGTGGAGTCAGATTCTGGTCTGTGCAGCTAAATCTGATCTCATCTGCTTCAGTGCTTGGAGTCCTTCAGTAATCTACCATCCTGAAGAACCATGAAGGGGGGAAAATAATAAACAGGGATTCTTACTTCTAATCACCATCCTGTGTCTTTCGCTGGAAAGTGTGTATGCATGTGGGTGCCTCATGAGGACAAACCAAGCTTTGTTGCAATAATCCTAGTCATTGAATAGCATTCAGACATTCACTGAAGTTGGATAAGTGCAACCATGTGCTTATTTGTTTTGTTTCCCTTTCTGTTTGAAAAATAGCTCCACTCCATTTATTCTATTCCCTATTTTAGCATTTTTTGTACTTTATGCAATTAATCAACGTGGTAATCATAACTAAGGCTAAAAGTTGCAACATAACCTTATAAAAAGATTCAGGATCATTCATCGTTTGAATTACAATTGGTTTTATCTCAGAGTCTATATGGTTGTGAACCTAGATTAGTTTTACCCTCTCCCATTGCAAACACAAATATAGTCAACGTATGAGTACAAAGAGCTACAAATTATCTTTTCTAATTTGTTACCAAATAACTTTTCATGTTAGATCTCCAACCTTCAAACACTTTCCATTCAACATGAAGATGGAATGTTTGGAAATCAGAATTAGCCCCACCTTTAACAATGCTGTTCCATCATTTACAGATAAAAGGTGCTTTTCTAAACGCAAAGACTGGACCCCATTAGGTTATCCTTCCCAAGATTTCAGTGTGACAGGGTTTGAACACAAGGCTCACTGCATAGAATCAAATTCAAAGGACAGTTCACAATGGCAAGTGCATAAAAAGGCAGCAGGGAGCTAGGAAAAATAAAGTATTCCATCACGTTGGTTACCACCAAAATACAAAAATGATTATTCTATCATGGGCTTCCTCTTCCCCATCAGGTTTCCTAACTTCCTCCCATAGAGAGAAAAAAGCCACCAGAAACATTAGCAACAAAAACAGAAGTTGCTGGAAAAGTTCAGCAGGTCTGGCAGCATCCGTGAAGAAAAAAATCAGAGTTAACATTTCACGTCCGGTGACCATTCCTCAAAATTGCAGTATCTGCAGTTCTTTTGGTTTTTAGAAACATCAGCAATATTGCACATTTCACATACTGATAATTAGGTAATCCATAGCAGGAAGAAAATGAAGGTCATGTTAAAGAACATATTTGGATAGATAGTCAATCATTGGTCACAAACGTGTGATTTAAGAAAGGTAACAAAATTTAGGATGAGAATTTCAGAGCATGGAACCTATGTGGTTGAAATCATAGCCACTAAGCTTGGTGATAGGAAGAGGTACTAGTTAGCAGGAATGGTTATTTTTGGGGAGAAGATTAGAGAAAGAATGAGGGATGAAACCACAAAGGCCTAAATATCTTAAAATTACTCAACAGCCCTTAACAAAAAAATCAACTGACGTCATTTTGAAACTTAGCGTCTATGAAATTGATACTTGCATCTTCTAGCCTTACCTTAGTGTCCAACATCTGCTTACTGCACCTACATCTTTCATCATCTTCTCCCTGAGTCTTTGCTCCAGTGAGAGTGAACTCAGTTGTTTAAGCTATTTTTCAGGATTTCATCCCTCCAAAGCCTGAAATCATGCAGACCACATCTCCCTAAATCCTATCTCACCTAATTGCTCTTGAGGTACAAAAACCAAACTGCACAGCACATTCCAAGATTATTGTACACAAAGATCCATAAATATTCTGACTTGCAATGCAATACTTTCCAAATGCATTCCAATATTGGGCTTGTCTGATTCATAAACCTCTTTATATTGGCTGAGCCTGTTCAGGGGGTGATAATGATCACTGGCTTACTCAGGATTTCTGGGCAGACCTCTGAACGTTCACCTCTGGAACCAAGCCAGACCTGAACTTGTAAAACCAATCAACACGAACCATTTGAAACACTACAGTGTGATTTTATTTCTTTTAAAAACATGCATTTCTCAACTTTATCAGAAAGTGCACTCACCGTAGCCATCTCCAATTGTCCAAAGTGACCTTGTCATAAGATTGAATGGGAAGGAAGCCGCCATTCAGTACATCGACAGCACTTCCTGCTTTTCTCAGACTTGTTCCAAATACAGAATATATCGCTTGCTTGTACCTTCGATAAAGCTCAGACTGAACACAAACCAGTTAATTCCATCTAGACTCCCCAGAGCGAGCTTGCATGTTGCCAAGCAGATGAGGTAAGCGTATTTGGCAAACTGGAACCAATGCTGAATTTGTTAGTCGTCAGTGTTTTGGTAATGATTGAGGTGCCATAATCCACATTGAGCTGCAGGTGCTTCAAGGGACTTGCCATAATGTTACTGGAATAATAAGTTCAATCTGTCTTTATTTCCCTCTTTTTTTTGAAAACATATATAAAGAAAAAAATAACATCAAAGTTGTTATGTTCCTATTGTCATAAAACTATCTTTACACTTGTTCACGGTTTGGCACAGATTTTTGCAAGTAGTGCATGTGTTATTGTACATTATCACCAGTGAAGATAAAAAGCTCTATTGCTCTTTAGAGCATAGAGCCTGCAGTCTTACCAAGATATTTAATTTTTCAAGATACACAACAATTACATCTCCTCTAATTCCAGCACTTCTATTTTTTTTTTGTTTGATCATTGACAAGGCCTCTGAATAATTCTTCTTTTGAGAAACATTATCCCGAAGAACACTAAACATAAGCACAATTGTTTTGCTGGAAAAAATTTAATCTTCTCCAAACATAGGTAAAACTCAAAAGGCCCCATATTTACTGAGAGCAAACTGCAGTCATTTTTGCTGCAAGAAAACCAAACAATTTATTCCACGGTTCAAAGGGTTTCAATTTTTTTTGCAGAAGCTGTAGAAAATGTAGAGAGTCTACTAAAATGCTGTCAAGGATTAAGAATAAACTGAAGAAGTGAAATAGCAGTAATAATGGCAACCATGTTAATTGTATCACAGCCAAGCTAGAACAAAGTATCCCTCAATTAGTTTGCCATTCTAAGAGTTCTCATGCAAATCATTCCTTTCGAAAAGGGGAACAAAAAACTGCCTCTGGCATGCAATTCGTGCATCAAAAAACGGGAGGAAATTAAGGGGACAGTGCCTGGGCTTAGAAGGTGCTGGTAAAGCAAAGGGTGCATCACAGCCACTTTAGTGCTGTATTACCTCAGTTTGTCAAGAGAGGCTGTCACAGATGGGTTCTTGTGCTGCTGCTCACGCTCTGCTCTCTTTACCTTACTCTTTTCATCCCCTGACAATTTTAATGTTGCTTTGTGACGGTACATTTTTTTATGGATGGGACCGTTACTGGCAGGAATACTTGAAGTATCAGAGCTTCTGTCAAAAATGCCACCTCGCATGCCAGAACTGAAATGAAATTCATTGTTAGGACCGGTTGGTGCAGCAAAATGAGGAACTGTGGATTTTGCAGGATTTTTATTACTTAAGGCCTTGGCTGTCGCTCTCCGGTTTTTAGCAGGCAAAGAACTATTTAATTTCTTTTTGGATTCTGACACTGTACCACCTAAAATATTCAAAGTTTTCCACTTCAGGCTATTTACCTCAAGTGACGGGCATGTACCTGAGGCAATGTTGTGTCCCCCAGGGTTCCAGATTGGTTCAATAGAAGCCATCATAAAACGCTGGACTTCAGCCATTCCAGAGGCAATATTAGAAAGTATATTACTGGGTTCTTCAAATTCTCTCTGATCATCAACCAACAGATTATTACTGTTTGCAACACTCTGCCCAGACCAGCCAGCACTGACCCTTTTACTCAAAGGCCAGGTACTATTTCCCCCATTTTGTTTTCTACCCCGTCCAGCAGTAGGACTGCGGTGTGGAAGGCTCTCATTCAGTAGCTGAACACAAGGTGATATGCTGGTTTTGTTAACAAGTACATCCAGTGACTTGCCATTAGCTGTAGGCAGCTGCATCTGATCATTCCTTTTAGTATGCGTTGCGCTGATTGATTTTTTGGAGTTTTTGGATGTGCCAGGGTTCTGACGGGAATTACTTTTGTTTTGAGTTTTTTCACTAGATTTAGCAGCTTTTGGCTTCCTTGGTTTTTTTGCACCTTTTGGAACTGAGCTTTGGTTTGGGCCCACATGTTTATTGGAAGTGCTTCTCTTCTTCGCTTTTTGTCCCCTATTACTGTTATGTAACTTTAGCATGCCAGCTTGTTTCTCAAATGGGCTGGTTTCAGTCATCTCAATGGTATCTTCATTATTAAAGGTGTGAAACTGAAATTGATGATTATTCAAAATAAATGTCTCCGTTGATTGATCGTGTGCCTGGGATACTGTAGCCCATTTCATTTCATTTGGATCTCCAAGCATGGTTTGAGCATGGTCCTGAAAGTCTTTGGGTTTGCCTGACGTTTTGACCTCCGTTCCTACTATTTCAGGTGAAAGGTCAGGTGTAATGGGTGGGGAAATCTCAGTCAGTGTCACTTGCCTGAATCGATCGGGAGTAAAGTTAGAGATGTCAAGGAGGTCAGCAGATTCCTTTAGTGGCGCCACTTCATCAACGCTTTGTTGAATCACTAGCTTGGGGCTACAGTGGGCCAAAAAATCATCACTCATATCATCCTCACCGTCATTTTCACATGACTTCAAACTTAGAGAGCTAAAATTATTGGTGCTGGCTGACAAAGAACTCACTGAATCAAAACTGATGAGTCTGGTGTCATCTGGAGCTACTGAATCTCGATGGAGCTGAAAATTGCCATCACTGTCTTCTATTATGCATGATTGATAGCTGGTATTTGACCGCAGTGGCTGGCTATGAGAATAATTCTTGCTGAGCACAAGTTCATCACTGTGTATTTCTATTTGTTGATAATTGTCATTGACGGTTCTTGAAAGATTGGTGCTTTCTGTGGGCAGCGACACAACACCGACCATACTAGCTGACAGAATGGTAGGCGTTCTGCCAATGGCCGAGAACTCCTGTTTTGTATGCCACAACTTTTCAAAGCTTTGCTTTTCCTCCTGGTAAAGAGGTGACTGCTGCTGTTCAGATTCAGAGGGAGGGGACATGACACAACTTTGTGCAAGATTCGAAGGGTTGAAATGGTTCTGAGGCTTGGAAGCAACGACAGAATGATGTGGGAAGTAGGAGAGCCCAGTATGGCTTATGGAATCGGATGCATCCAGCAGTGTCTGTAAATACCCCCCGGGGATTACTTGCACAGTAGACGCAGCATTAGCAGATGGCACAGGCTTGTCAGAAGAGCAGGTGGCTGGTGAAAAAGTAGAATTCTTAGCAGCAGTCTTTGCTTGGCACGATTTAGATAAATGGGTGTTGTCTGGGACACAATGAATGGCATTAGTTAGTAAAACACCTGAACTATTCTGCCTTGTTACAGCTGAATCCATCTCACTTGCATTTGTTGTTGTGTCAATGTCATCATTTCCCATCACCTTGATCTTTTTGCTGGTGTTTTTCAGTTTGCCTTCTGCTTTTAGTTTCAGTCTCTTTAGTCTGCCTTTCTCCTTCACTCTGTTATCAAACTTTCCTAGTGATTTGCTTCTCATTGTAGCAGGCCCTGACGTAATGTTTGTGGAACACAATCCATTCGCACAACTAGGGATTTCTATTGCAACTGTTTGGGCATCGACAAACTCCACCTCTTCTCCACCAGTACAGGTCAGCCTTTGAGTTCCAGCCGGATCAAAAGAACATGCAATCTGCTTGTTGGGCCCTAGTTCAAGTTGAACTCTACGCGCTCTGTGCCTGTTTGCAATTTGTTTGCTTTTCCTCTTGGCAGGATGGGAAAGAAACACATTAGACACAGTGCTACTTAAATGCAGCCTCTTCCTTCTTTCAGTAGGCACTGACAACAGATGCTTTGATTGTTTTTGGCACCAAAACTCCTTTAAAGGTGCAAGTTTCTCATATCTACCTAGTGCTTCAGCAGTCAAACTGACACTTGTTTCGGTGGCATCAATTTTACTGACTTTAACTCGCATATCCTTCTGACCTTTGAACCTATTAATAATTATATATTTAATAATAACTGGCGGCCCTCTCCGAACTGACTTTCGGCGCTTCCGTGGACACCATTCATCATCATCTTCTTTCTTAGGACCATCCACCGGCCATTCTTTTTTTCCTGAAATCTTTTCACTTTCTATAGAGTCAACATCGTACAAGTAGTCATCACTATACCGTACTTTCCTTTTGGCACGTAATGCATAATTTAGTTGACCAGAGCAGTTGACATTTTGCCTTGAAAGGTACTTGATGCTATCCATGTTGCCTTTAATGGTGTCATACGATGAATCTGTTCCACAGCTGTCATCACTGTACTCTCCTGAGTCTTCTACAGAATGATTTGTTTCAAAGAAATGGTTTCTTTTAGAAGTCGTATACAGCTTTAAATCCACAGTGCTACCATATTTTTGCATTCCCGCCCTCTCTTCCAATTGGTCATCTTCTTCCCAGATATCAATCTCATCAGATTTGATTTGTGACGCATCCAAATTCATTTTCACTGACGCTTTACCTTCCTTTTTTGAGCAGTTTGAGATGACATTGGGGAAAAAGCTTAATTGTGCTTCTTCCTGAAGCACGTTTGTCTTTTCCCTGACATTGTCTTGAAAGGATTCATACCTAATCTTTAAAGAGCAGACATCGCTGCTGAGAGTTGACTCATCATCAAACATATAATTGTCCACTTCTTCCTCTGCAAAAAGATTGACTGAAAGCTCATTTTTTGAGCATAGGTCAAGCAGTTCTATTTTGCTTTCACTAATAAAAGACTCAAAATAAGCCCAGTCCTGGCTAGGATTCGACAATAAAGCTTCTTCTCCATTGCATTTGTCCAGCAGTAATCCTTCGTAGTAATGTTTTTGAGTAATATCTTCCGACTCACTGTCAGATTTCTCCACATCTCTTTTGTCTGTAGTCCTAGATTTGTGCACAGTAAAGCTTAACAGTTGGTCTGAAAGCAGCTGATCCCCATATCTTGCACTTTCTCCTGTACTCATGCATTGAATCCCTATATCGGAGACTGAACAGGTGTCGCAATCCTTGTTCATGTCACCTATTTTCATGCTTACTCCAGGCTCTGCGTCAATGCTTTCTTTTGACTCAATGAAGCAGCCCAAACAGGTTCTGCTCTGTTGCATCAAACAATCGTCAGACAATGATGAAATGCCTTTGGGCTCCATATACCTGAATGGGGCTTTGTCAGAATCCTCTGGCACGGACAAATAGCTCACACCTTTTGTTACACAAGATGTAAGGGAAATAGCATGTGTGGAGGAATCATTTGAAGTATGTTCAGGCACATCAGCTAGACTTAGAGGAGAGGGTGGGTCCAACAGGCACGCCTCTTTTGAAGTTGGTAAAGATAACACCCTGTGGCCCAGTTCATTTTCTTTTGGTGAAATGAAAGACGATAAGGTAACTGCAACATCTGCCGCATTGAAAGTCTTCATAATTTTCCCTGCACCACATGATTCTACATGGAAGGAAGAAAGTTAAATAACTTCAATATACAATACTGTAAGGTAGTTCCAATTTTAGGCTAGGCAGATAAACAGTTTAAAGTACAGTAAAGATAAGAAAAATTATACATAAATGTCTTCAATCGTGAACCAAGAGGAATAGTTTAAGAAAATGGAACTTAAGTAGCCAGCATACAAGATTTATTATTGCTATCAAACTGCAATTATCTCAATAGAAGCTGAAAGGATGTGGCAGAATCTGTTAAAATCTCATTATAATTATGGTTATAGTTCAGTTTCCATCTAGGATCCAACTCAGTGTTATTCTGAGAAATATGCATACATTTAATCTGGTAATTAATTTTTCATTAAAATGTGTCAATGGGGCAAAAAATTGAAACAATTGCAGTTTTGAAAGACTAATCACATAAGTAACTATGGATGTAAACTGTGAAATTTTAACAGACTGGAATCAACCTTCACAACCATAACAAGAGAAAGAAAGGTCGGTCAGCTGGGAATGGTACTTCTGCTAACCTTTATGTTTTGACCATTTTTAATATTTATGATATATCAGCTGTATTAGTTGATTGTGTCTTTGCAGACCAAGACTCAGGCCCAAGAGTAAACATCAGGCAAAACAAGATCAGAGGAGGAAATAATTGGGTGTGCAGGCAAGCATATTGTTACATTTGCCCATACAATGGAAGTTGCACATATAAACTTATTACTATTATTATGTCCTCTGCTAGTGTTGCTGCTGCAGTAGGGAATGTGGGAGGATTGGGCCAGGGATGAAGACAAGGATGTTATTACTGCATAATAAATTTATGTAAGTTATTTTCATTAATGTGTGGATAAAACATTTTACCACAGAGTTGACTTTCAATATACACAATTATAATACCGGTTCACATTCTACAGCAATGCACCGAGGCAAGATCAATTCTAGCATTCAGGCGAAGTGGGTTCAGAAGTCATTAGGCAATTGAACAGTATTTTGGGAACATAGACAACAAGGTGCAGGGCTGGATGAACACAGCAGGCCAAGCAGCATCATAGGAGCAGAGAGGCTGACGTTTCGGGCCTAGACCCTTCATCAGAAAAGGGGGAGGGGAAGGGGGTTTTGAAATAAATAGGGAGAGAGTGGGAGGCGGATAGAAGAGGGATAGAGGAGAGGATAGGTGGAGAGGAAACAAACAGGTCGAAGAGGCGGGGATGGAGCCAGGAAAGGTGAGTGTAGGTAGGGAGTTAGGAAGGGGATAGGTCAGTCCAGGGAGGACGGACAGGTCAAGGGGGTGGGATGAGGTTGGTCGGTAGGAGATGGAGGTGCGGCTTGGGGTGGGAGGAGGGGATAGGTGGGAGGAAGAACAGGTTAGGGAGGCAGGGACGAGTTGGACTGGTTTTGGGATGCGGTGGGGGGAGGGGAGATTTTGAAACTTGTGAAATCCACATTGATACCATTGGGCTGCAGGGTTCCCAAGCGGAATATGAGTTGCTGTTCCTGCAACCTTCGGGTGGCATCGTTGTGGCACTGCAGGAGGCCCAGGATGGACATGTCGTCTGAGGAATGGGAGGGGGAGTTGAAATGGTTCGCGACTGGGAGGTGCAGTTGTTTGTTGCGAACCGAGCGTAAGTGTTCTGCAAAGCGGTCCCCGAGTCTCCGCTTGGTTTCCCCGATGTAGAGGAAGCCACACCGG